TCCATTTCAGGAGGTGGCATATGATCAAGAACCAATGGTACTGAGGGAAGAAGTTGAAGCTGCACTGAAGGAAGTGGCAAAAAACAAGGCTCCAGGAATTGACAGGATACTCCCTGAGATGTTTCAACAAATGGATGCTGCACTGGAGGCACTCACTCGGCTATGCAAAGAGATTTGGAAGACAACTACCTGGCCAACTGACTGGAAGAGATCCATATTTGTACCCATTGCAAAGAAAGGTCATCCCATAGAATGTGCAAATAATTGAACAGTATCATTAATATCACATGCAAGCAAAATCTTACTAAAGATAATTCAAAAATGGTTACAGCAGTATAATGAAAGAGAACTTCCAGAAAAGCAGGCTAGATTCAGAAGAGGATGTGGAACAAGGAATATCGTTGCTGATGTCAGATAGATCTTGGCTCAAAGCAAAGAATACCAGAAAGATGTTTAGTTGTGTTTTATTCACTATGCAAAAGCATTTGATTGTGTGGATCATAACAAGTTATAGATAACATTGAGAAAAATGGGGATTCCAGAACACTTAATTGTGCTCATGAGGAACTTGTACTTAGACCAGGAGACTAGGCTGTCATTCAAACAGAACAAGGGGGACACTGCGTGGTTTAAAATCAAGAAAGGAGTGCATCAGGGCTGTATCCTTTCACCATACTTACTCAATCTGTATGCTGAACAAATAATCTGAGAAGCTGGACTATATGAAGAAGAACGTGTCATCAGGTTTGGAGGAAGACTTATTAACAACCTACGTTATGCAGATGACACAACTTTGTTCGCTGAAAGTGAGCATGACTTGAAATACTCATGAAGATTGAAGACTACAGTCTGCAGTATGGATTACACTTCAATATAAAGAAAACAAAAATCCTCACAACAGGTCCAATAAGCAGCATCACAATAAATGGAAAAAAGATTGAAGTCAAAGACTTCATATTACTTGGTCCTACAATCAACACCAATGGAAGCAGAAGTCAGGATATCAGACGTCATATAGCATTGGGCAAATTTGTTGCAAAGGACCTCTTTCAAGTGCTGAAGAGCAAAAATATTTCCTTGAATACTAAGGTGCACTTGATGTTGGCCATGGTATTTTCAGTTGCCTCAGATGCATGTGAGAGCTGGACAATGAAAAAGGAAGACTGAAGAAGAGTCGATGCTTTTGAGTTGTGGTGTTGGCGAAGAATGCTGAAAGTACCATGGACCACTAAAAGAACTAACAAATCTGTCCTGGAAGAGGCGCAGCTGGAATGCTCCTTGGAAACAAGAATGGCCAGACTTCGTCTTACCTACTTTGGTCATGTTGTAAGAAGGGACCATTCCCTGGAGAAGGATATCGTGCTTGGTAAAGTTGGAGGGACAATGAAAAAGGGGAAGGCCCTCAACAAGATGGATTGACACAGTGGCTGCAATACTGGGCTCAGGTATAGCAAGGATCGTGGGGTTGGCACAGGACTGGGCTGTGTTTGTTTCTGCTGTACATGAGGTTGCTATGAGTTGGAGACAACTCAACGGCACCTAATAACAACAACACATATATATAAAGATAAATCTCTAGTTAGATGTGGTAGTTAAGGGTATGTGTCAACTTGGGTCAGCCTGCTTTTGAGTGGCTGGGCAGCTGGATGTATTTATTCCCCCTGGTGAGATTGGTAATCAACTCCATTGTGGAATCTACTGGAGCAGCTAAGTAGCTGCCTTAGGGATGTGGTCTGCTTCTTGTATTTCAGGAGAAGCATTGAGAAAGGTCTGCAGGTTTTGGCAGGCTTGAATCCTGAGTGTAGCCAAGTCATTATTCAGCAGCCTGCCATGTTGTCTGCTGAAGTTGGAAATCTTAATGGACTTGAATCAGTGGCCTGCTGTGTGGTTTGGTAATACCAGCACTGTGCCTTCTTACTTGTCGACCATGGGTTTGTCAGCCTTAGCAGCCAGCAGCTGCCTGAGTGAAGAGATGCCTCCAGTTTCAGTAGGCTAGGAGCAAGAGGCAGAGCTGAAGCCCAAGGCCAAGGGGCTTTCACCCAGCCCCTTGACCTGGCACTCTGAACTCAGACTTCTAGCCTCCAAAACTATAAGAAAATAAACTGTTTGTTAAAGCCATCCTATTTGTGGTATTTTCTTTTAGCGTGGCAGTAGGTAACCAAAACACTAGACTATCAAGAAAAATCAGAGAACTTCCCATTACCAGAAATGAAAAAGAGTACATCAACAGATATTAATAAGAGAATATTAGGAATAACTAGGTACTGATGAATTCATCAACTTAGATGAGATGGAAAAATTCCTTGAAATACACAAATGACCAAAACTGACACAAGAAAATTATCTAATGATCACTGTATTGGTTGTTGTTGTTGTTGTTATGTGCCGTCGAGTCGGCCCCGACTCATAGCGACCCCTCCTTGGGTTTCCGAGGCAGTATCACTACGGAAGTAGGATTGCCCAACCTTCCTTCCGAGGAGTGGCTGGTGGGTTTGAACCGCCAGCCTTCTGGTTAGCAGGCAAGTGTCTTAGCCACTATGCTACCAGAGCTCCTGTATTGGTTAGAGGTAGTAAATTCATAATTTAAAAATTTCTTCCAACAAAACTCCAGGACCAGATGGATTCCTTGTTAAACTCTTATCAAACATTCAAGAAAGGCAAATCTTGCAAAACCATCTTATGAGAACAGAGGAAACATTTCATCTCATATGATAAAGACAATACGATCATGAAAACAAAACCTGACAAGAATGTTGTAAGAAAAAAAAATTATCAATATTTTTATCCATATGAAAAGAATGAAGCAGAACCCCTATCTCATACCATAAATAAGAATTGATTTGAGATGATTCATAGACCTAAACATAAAAGCTAAAACTATAATCATTCTGAAAGAAAATACAGCAAATATCTGTGTGCCCTTGAGATAAACAAAAGTTCCTTAGATTATAGGGGGAAAAAAATGATAGATTGAAATTCAAATAAAAATTTAATATAAAAACAAAATGCTTCTGTTCATCAATAGAATGAATTCTTTAAATGAATAGGCAGGCACACACTAGGAGAAGATGTCCATAATACATATATCTGACAGGAGACATATATGAAGAATATATAAAAAACTATAACTCAATAATGAGAAAACAAATACACAAATAAGAAATGGAAAAATACTTGAAAAGACATTTCTCAAAACCTATGAACTGAATGTTCAGTTAAGCACATGGAAAGTATTCAACATCACTAGTCACTAGATAAAGAAATGGTCACTGAAACCATGAGATACTACTAATGCATACCCATTAGAATGGCTAAAATGAAAAAGACTGACAACACCTAGTGTTGGGGAGGATGTGGAATGGCCAGAACTCTTGTACATTCCTGGTGGGAATATAAAACATTATGTACGGTTTAAAACTATGTCAACTTTTTATATATAAAAATAGTTGAACATACATCTACTCTAAGACCCAGCAGTTCCTCTCTTCAGAGGAAATGAAAATGTGCCTGTAGAGGGACTTGTGCCAGAATGTTCATAGCCATATCTGTGGTGGCCGGAAGTCATAGCAGTCCAGGTGTCCATTAACGGGAATAGATACACAAATTATGATGTAGTTATGCACTGTAGTACTACTCAGCAAAGAAAATGAAAAAAATTACTATCATGAAATGAAAATCTCAACCAATATATGCTGAGTGAAATAAGCCAGACACAGAAAGTGCATACTGTATGACAGCACATATGTGACATTCTTCAAGAGGCAAAACTAGTTACGAGAATCAAAAATCAGAACAGTGGCTTCCTCTTGGGGAAGAGGATTGACTAGGGAAGGCATTTTCGGGTGCTTAGAATCCCCCTAGTATCTACCTACCCCAACACACCAGGTGATTCTCTTGAGGAAGAGCACTTACAAATCTCTAAATTTTGTCTCCAAGCAATGTATTTCTTTCATTTTACAAATGAGAACTATAAAATATGTCCATTTGAAGTAGATTCCCTTATATAAATTTAAAAATAACAAAAATAAAAATGAATGATACCTTATTGTTTTATAGCAGAATAAACATAAAAGATTCTTATTAGTGTTAAGGAAGAATTTTTTTCTCTCTATAAATTAAAGAAAAAAAAAAAAAAGATGCTACTATTGTTTTACGAAAGAATGCAGAAGACCCTGCCAGTGCTAAAAAGGCATTTCTCCCTGTGGATAAACTTGTATGCTTGTCTGGTTGGATGAGAAATGCATAACCAGTATGCTGCCATTTTGTGTCTTGGCTGCCAAGAAGTTCAGAGCCAAATTCAGTGTTCAGTTTAGTGATTAATATTCCAGATGCCTGATATATCAATATTTTCTGAGGGGGAGGGGGACATAAGGTGGGGACATTATTATCCTATTTCATATTGTAAACTACCTCAAATCATTTAGGGAAAATGATAGTATATTAATGATGTAAAATGTTGGCCATTTAAAAAAATTATTATTTTTTGGTACAGATATAAATATATTGTATGTTTCTCCTTCTTGTCAAAAAGAGTTAGAATAGGAAGGATTTTTACTGTTGCCTGCTAAAGTGAGTCTCCATCCACCCAACGGGTAGAATGATGCAAAGAACACTCATTTTAAAATGCCAACCATACTGACCAGGAAACACTTCACTTACATTTGACTGTAAGGGTTAGACTTGAGGAGCCAACGCAGAAGTATAGAATATGTTAAGAGTCCCTAATGGATCGCAGATGGCATAAAAAATTTAAGTGCACTTCATTACATACTTGGGATAAAGAAAGAAATCAGATCTGTACGCAAATGTGCTCAGCACCATTCTGTTTCTATGATAACTGGGGTCGTCAGCTTTGACTTTATCAGCTGGATAGGATATTTTCTTTCCCTTCTCATTTAATAAAACCATATAACCTTGGCCCTCAGGAGAAAATAAAATGTCTTTACTCCCAAAGGGAAAATTCTAATGTAACATTAAGGGGGGGAAAAAAAACCTCTCACCTGAGCAGTTTCACTGTTAATCAATCCACCCAGCTTCTCTCTTTGCACTTGTCTCCATGTTGCATATGACTCAGCACTTCTCTCACTGTGAACTTTTTTCTCTATTAAACTAGTCTGTACCTCATTGAGTTGCTTTGTTGCAGCCTTTCGTGAGTCAACCTGTTGCTAGAGAGCAACAAATACATATAATGAAAATTTTTGATACTAGTAAAAAAATGCATTTATGTACAGATATTGAAAATTCTACACTTGTCAAATTCTCAAAAAATAAAGAAGTAAGCAACAAATAGACAGTCTAGAAAAAAAAAATAAGAGTTGTTGGCAACATCTGGATCCTTTCTCATCAATAGGATAAGACCAATTAAAATTAGTGTCCCTGTTATGTGTGCTTTGGAAATTATCTCTAAATATAACTTGCTCATTGAATACAGCATTTTTTTTTTTTTAACAAAAAAACTGTTACATTTTAAAAGTGCACATGGATTCATTATTAACTCTCATGGAAGTGGATCCAGTACATCTTTGTAGTTTCAGTTCTTATTAAACTCTTGGTTCTCTATCACTGAAGTGAGCCTAATTAATGTGAATGTATAAAAGGAGCTTATGATGCTGCTTACTTTTTTATGCAGGTAACTTAAGCTTTGAGCAAGCAGCATAATAGTTCATGTCACCTAATACTGAGTACCAGTACCAGGGGTTAAGTTCAACAATAAGCTTGATGTCTGTAGGGTTTCGGTTTCACACCATGGAGAAATCTGGGAATGACTGACTCTCAATAACCTTGAAATAGACATGGAAATAGAAGAGCAGATTTCACAATACAGTTGGGAGATTGAAAGCTATAGTGAAGATCCTTATGTGAAATATTTGTTCAAACAGCTTCATGTTTACAGCAGCTGAAAGTGTCATCACCTTTTTTCATGGGTTAAATAGGGGGCAGATGATAGGAACCTCAAAAGGGGAAATAATGGAGTACCCAGTGCCAAAAAAAAGAGTGAATTACATTGGTTGGACAAGCAGAGCCTTAATTTGTAGTCTCTCGATTTCCAGCTACTATTGCCAACTGTGTTCACTCCTTCCTCCCCTTTAAAACATGCTGGTGTTTTGTGGCTGGGTCTAAGTTGTCACAACACCATTCTTTATCCCCTGCTCCTCCCGGGATCCCAGCTATCAAAGGATGGCAAAACCACTGCCTTTCAGTTACCTGCAAATTGGAACTCGCCTAATCACTCAGAGGTTCTTTATCTTCACCATCCAACCCTGCCAAACAACTGAGAAAATTCATGTGCAACCCCTTCCAGTGAAATCACATTGGTATTAATGTATATCACACCACTTACGTGGAACAAAGGTGTTCCCCAGGCTGCTGCACACTGTTTTATCCTATTAAAAAACTGGCTACCAATCGTGAAAATGTGTTCTATAACATAAAGGATTAGTTGAGATATTTATTGAGATTTTTAGTACCCCCATATGCTAGGCACTTTTGATGTACATAGTTTTTGCCATGGGAGCCTTTGCATACAAACAGAAACTGCAATATAATATATTCAGCCCTCTGTGAAGCTTCCTGGAACACAATATGTCTTTAGAATCTGCTGTCTGTTGGCTGGATTGTTAGGTAGAGCTGCCATGGGCTCTTCTAGCTAATAAACAAAATGATATCCAGTGTATGGGAAATTTCTGTTTCTAGATTAACTTCTGAAATGGTTATGAAAGTGTAAAGTGGGATGGGTAGCTTCAACTCTTAACAGTATATATAGTGAAACTTTCTTTTTTCTCAGGGGTGTGAAAAGGAAATAGAAACACCCTTGGAATTCCACATAATCAAATGGAAGGATCCTATACAAAAGTCTGTCATTTTCAAGAAAGTGACTATTAAAATGAGGCACTTTTCATTTAATTTTCCACTGGCATTTAATTCTGTTCTACAAAGTCAGGGCAACTTTCGGATTCCTAAATATCAATTAAGCCAAAGATGTGCTAATTTTAATAGTGAACTTGTACTATATTTTTCTCATGATTAAAAAATAACCAGAAGACAAGCTTCGTAGTATTATTTTGAAAACTAAAGTTCAGGAAAGAATTCTCTAAACTTTTAAGTGCCAAACACAGATTACTACTACCAATAACAGTATACTCACTTTTGGATTTGCTGTGGGAACCTCAGACAGGGTGAATGAAGGAACAAACTTACTGCCTGACACGGAGGACAGCTTGAACATTGTAGCCCTGATCTACAGTCACTTCTCTGTGCTTAGCAAGGGTGGGTGGCTCATTATGTCCAAGCCTATGCTATTACAATATGCATTCAGGTACCACAATCAAGAAGGGGAACTGGCAATCTGCTACTAGGACCCACTGGCTCTTGGGGTGGGGGGAACTGACTGAAAGGTGGAACCAGTGTCTTCAATAATGCTGGTTTCCCAGCCTGGCTTCAGCATTCCCATCTGGGAATTTTACAGCTTACTTACAAATAAAGCATTCTTACTGAAATATGATTCTCTTCAATGAACTTTGGAGACTGAATCCCTGTGATTGGCATAAATGGACTGTGGTAGCATTGGTGATAGATTTTTTCTAATGTGACAGTGCTACCTCAGGAGCTGCCAGAACTACCAGGGAATGCTTGCAGCTACGCACACCATCATTTTGATGGAGGCAAACACCCCAAAATATTGGCTTATTAGAAAAAAGTATCAATAGCTCTGAAATCCTAACAAAAATTGATTTCTAATTTAACTTGAGTAACAGTATTTGAGGGAGCTCTGGAGGTGTAGTGGATAAGGCATTTGGCTGCTAACCAGAAGGTCAGTGTTTCAAACCCACCAGCTTTTCCACATAAGGAAGACAGGACGATCTACTTCTGTAGAGATTTACAGCCTCGGAAACCTAGTGGGGGTCACTATGAGTCAGAATCAACTCAATGGCAGTGGGTTTTGTTTTTTTAAAACAGTATTTGAGGACTTCAAAAGGAAGTCCCAGTTTATGGAGAATAGTTTACAGTGCATAGTCAAATCCAGTATTGGGAAAAAAAAAAAGCTCATTTTTCTCTTCTGAAAAAGCTGCAAGTTTGCTTTTCATGATGTGCTATTTTCTAATACCTAATCAGAACAAATTTTTGTTAAAAACACTCAATTTAAAAGGCACAACAACTTATAAACTAAAACACCAAATGCACTGCTGTCGATTCTAACTCATAGTGACCCTGTAGGACAGAATAGGGGAGCTCTGGTAGCATAGTGGCTAAGACACTTGCCTGCTAACCAGACGGCTGGCAGTTCAAACCCACCAGCCGCTCCTCGGAAGGAAGGCTGGGCAATCCTACTTCCGTAGTGATACTGCCTCAGAAACCCAAGGAGGGGTCGCTATGAGTCGGGGCCGACTCGACGGCACATAACAACAACAACAACAACAGGACAGAATAGAACTGCCCCCGAGGGTTCCCAAGGCTGTAAATCTCTACAGAAGCAGACTGCCTCATCCCTCTCCCACAGAGCAGCTGGTGGGTTCAAACTACCAAGCTTTTATTTAGCAGCTTTAACTACTACATCACCAGAGCTCCTTATAACTACTTACACTGAGTGGAATGATAGTTTTTAAAAATTAAACACTCATAGCTTATTTTTTCTTTGAATACTGAATCACAGAAACATATTATTGACGTCTGTGTAGTTTATCTGCCTCATCTTTCTCCCACACAGTGGCTGGTAGAGTCAAACCACTGACTTTTTGGTTAGCAGCTGTGCCACTGGAGCTCCAGAAAAGTACAAATCTGAAGTTCATTCACCATCTGTTAAATGACTAAAGTGACCCATGTGTAGAACAACAGGAGACTTTTTTTTGTGTCTAATAAGGGAATTCTGTCTGACTACAATGAGAATATTTGGGGCCATGTGATTGATATTTGTTCTGGCCTTTAAATGATCCGTCATGCAGGCAATCTACTGTGGAAAGCAGCCTGTACTTGTATCATTCAAGAAAAGTGAGTACAGGGCAGTTTATGTTGCCATACTTTGTTCTGGAACATGTTCAAGTTTGGTTTTTGCAGCAATACAAAGTCTGTCAACCTTTAAAGTAAAAAATAAGACCCATATGGTAAACCTATATTTTATATTGTCATTATTAAATGTATTTCTGTACATAAAATATTAGAAATAAAGTTATTATCAAATAGATATTGATCTGCTGAGAAATATACCCTCAAATCATCTTACTGCCTATACACCCAGACTAATCACATTATTAACAGACATTAACTAAGGTCTTAAGCATGCATATTATTCTTAGTGCTTACTCATCATCAAAGTACTCTATTCAAAAAAAAGGGATAAAGTATTTTTGATGGAGCCTCTTGGCAAAAAATTTTATGTTCTATGCATATAAAAATGGTTTCACAACAAACATTCTATTTGATGGAACTGAAAATTCTGGTGGATAATAATTAGAATTTTATATCAGAGGATACAGCTATCAGTTTTTAAAATGGCTTCTTTTATATTTCAATTAAGTTTATAAAACTGAAAAACTAAAAAAAAGGGAGAAAAAAAACCTACTTAAAATAGTATAGATTAAGTGGTGACCATTATTGTGAGAGAAATACTATGTGAAGGAAATGACTCTCTTGTTTTGTTGTAAAAGTGATAAAAACACGAAAGTCAATAAAACTGTTAAAATAAGTTTCAGTAATTACCAAGATCAAAATCCAGTGCCTTTTTATTAAACATGAACTTTTGTTCTGCCTCCTGCAATAAGTAAATAGTGCTGACAATTGGTTTGTAAGGCACTTGCTACAATAAAATGTAATTGTATCATGAGAGAAAGGTGACAATCAGGAGATCATGAAAAAATTACATATTCTCACTGGTAGTTAATTAGCCATGCAAAACCTCCTCAAACAGATATTCTCTTCTATTAGGAATGATTACTATGCAGGACTACAGATGTCAATACCACAGTCATTCAAATACTTCTTTCCCTACTAATTGAAGGTTGTAAAGCTCTGGTGCCAAGGTTTTGCTTCCAAAGAGCTAATTTATGACTAGAAGGATATTTTATGTCTTCAGTTGCAGCAGCTACAAAATTCAGCAAATCAGAACCATCTGTGCACTGATACTTGACTCACCCTTCATCTAGCAGCCTATCAGTCACATTAGTTTGCATCCTGCATTCTTGGCTCATGAACACTTGTGATGATCCAAAGTTCATAAGAAATATTAAAAATGAATGGCATCCTGACCCTGCCTTATTGTACACACATCAGGAAAATAAATAAATAAATAAATAAATAAATAGCCTAACACCTTTTTTTGCATATGGATATTGTCAAAGAAAACATAGACATTTAGTTGCCTGTCCAGCAATGTTGCTATCAGTAGGCTCAGGTTTCCCCCACCCTCTTAAAAAGTGTTTAAAGTCCTAATTCTTTTGTATTGCTTCAAGTTCTAATTTTTTTCTTTTTTTTAAAGTCAGTTGGAAGATGGCAGAGTGAAAAGAGGTGTAACTTTTTTAAAAAAATGATAGTTAAGTTTTTCTATACATTGTCAATACACACAGTCCAGTAAAATCCAGGAATATTATTATCATCACTAAATTATGGCCAGATTGGTAGGCAAAACATGGTGCTAAAGAAGTAAACGAAGGATCTCACTAATAAAGTCAGATTAGCCTTTAATCTTGACCTGCTTATATCTCCATGACATCAGTGACTGCTTTCTTCCTTACATAGTACATGACAGGCCACAGACCCTGCTCTTTTTCTCTAAGAACTTTCAACAAATTTTCTCCTTAAAGGCGGATATCACACACTTTAGTAGAGTTAAGAGAAATAAGAATTACATATAATGAGTAAGTGAGCAAGACATGGGGTTGTCAAACTCATTTTGGAACCTAAAACAATGTCATTTTGTAGTAAAGAATCCCAGGGACCATTTTACTTACTTTTTGATTGTTTGGAGTATGTATATTTACACTGTGTCCATTAGTGGAAAATTCCAGTGGTCCTAAAGGTATTTTACCTGGGTTCAGAATTTTCTTGAGCATTTGATAGTTCGGCTTTTCATCATATGCTAAACTATGAGCACATTCCAAAAATTGGGCTATTTCACCTGTGAAATATTAAATATTTTTCAAGTCATTTTATAATTGGCAAGAAATGTCAAGATGCCAACAACTTCAAAATCCCTTTGTTCTCTCTGTCACTCTTATACATACATAAACACACACAGACAGGTCCAAAAGAAACTAAGAATGAAACAATTCAATGAAAAGCACTTATTAAAAGACAATTTGAAAAATGACTGAAAGAGAGTGACCTCCAAATTTTGCTAGAGGAGAGGGGCTAGTATATATATATATATTTTTTTTTTAATATTTGTTGAGGTGTCTACAATTCACTAATCTTACAGAAAGATGCAAATTTTAATAATTATAGTTAATGATTTTAATTTATGGGATGCAGGTACGAGGAGTAATATAATAGACCAGACATGCATCGTACTTTCTTTTTTAAGTTAAACCTTTAAAAATTCAATTGAAAGCACCATAAAAAAACTCATTGCTGTTGAGCTGATTTTGACTCATAGTGACCATATAAGACAGAGCAGAACTGCCCCATAGCGTTTCCAAGGCTGTAAATCTATATGGAAGCAGACTGCCAAATCTTTTCCCTACAGAGCGGTTGGTGGGTTCAAACCACCTATATTTCAGTTAGCAGTTGAACATTTAACCACTGTACAACTAGGGCTTATTAGTTAAAAAAAAAAAAAAAAAAACACAACTGTTCTTTAGTATAAATTTCCATACACACACACACACACACACATCCACACATATATTTTTAAGGCTTTGACTTTGCAATTTTAACAGCTTATTTTAAAATGACCTAGAATTTCATGGTTTAGCTAAAAATGTGCCAAGTGTCCTGAAGTCCTCTATGCCTAGCCAGCCCTGTGTGTGCATTCACTGCATAGTCTTCCTGACAGAGAGCAGGAGGACTTCCCTAATGCAATGTCTAACCTCTCCTAAGGTCATATAGCAACTCCCCCAAAGATATGAATTACAAGTTTTTAAATACAAATAGAATTAGTAACCCAAAGTTAAAACACAGCTACATTTAAATACAGTTCCCGGTAGAGGCTCAATCAAAAACCAGGATACAAGTGATAAATACTAGACAGTATTTACAAAGTAGCATGTTTTCATTCATAACAATGTTTCGATGCTCCACAAACCAGTTTTTACTTCATAAACTATTACTGACCCAAACACTAGCACTCTAACTTTATGATTAAGTTATTTACATCCCATGGTGGGAAAATCTTGGAAGCTTCCTGGGTTGACAACATTGACTCCTAATCCTTCACAACCCTTCCAGATCCACCACCATTAAAAGTCAAGAGAGTGACTATTTTATAGCACATAGTCCAGAACTATTTCTAAAACTATGAGGCTAATGTGGCTAAAGTGTGGGAGAAACAAGTGGCAGTCTACCTTCATAAAGATTTACAGCCTTGGAAACCCTATGAGGCAGTTCTACTCTGTCCTATAAGGTTGCTCTGAGATGAAGTCAACTCAATGGCAGTGAGGTTTTTTTTTTTGGTTTGGATGGCTAAAATGAGAACCTTGGCTTTTTTTTTTTGACACCATGGTGATTATGTGACCTGTTTATTTTTTCTTCTGTAATTTATGAGATACATCAAATTCTGTTATCCATATTCAATTAACCAGATCTCTATTAACCAGTGAGGGATGTTGGTTCATCTACACATTTGTAACTGATATCTCCAGGAACACCTTGTTGTTGTTATGTGCCGTTGAGTCAGACCTGACTCATAGCGACCCCTCTTTGGGTTTCTGAGGCGGTATCACAGAAGCAGATTGCCCCATCTTCCTTCTGAGGAGTGGCTGGTGGGTTTGAACCGCCAGCCTTCTGGTTAGCAGTCAAGTGCCTTAGGCACTATGCTCCTTGGGGTCATCCAAATACTGAAGACATGGTTAACAAAAAAAAGACTGAATTGTATTCACTATTATTTTAGTACAGATACTCTGTCGTTCTTTGGTTCTGTGAAGACTGGTAAGCCCAGTTTGGTATGTATCACAATTCCACTAACCAAAACATCCCACATGGTGAAGAGAGCTGAACATCATAGGCACACTTCTCACAAACCACTGTCACAAGACAATGGAAGACTCCTCCTACTTTCCCAGCTGACAGCAACTGTGCTGTAAAGCCTTTATGGGTCTGGGGTTTGAAAAAATGAGGTACAGTGAGTTAGGGAGGAAGAAAAACAAAATAGCATCCTCCATTATAAATTTATTATTATAAACCTGAAACTTAGACTATTATAATGTAGTGCTGGTTTAAATGTTAGCCTTTCAAGATCTAGATTTATTATATTATTTCATTTTTTTTTTAAATTTACTAGCATATTTCCAGAGTTATAAAACAAAAAAATGCTTTGGGTAGTATAAAGTTATGATATTCTTGAATCATCTGCTTTTTAAAATAGTGAAATATGAAGTATCATTACTATCATTTCAATAGATAGAAACTTTTGAAATCTACAGTGGGTTAGATATGCAAGCTGCAAACTTCTTGGCTGTTTTATTTCAGAAAAAAAAGTTTGAGTAATAAACCTTTTGTAAATCTATTCTTCTTTAATTTTCATGCTGGCAATATCCACTTCTAAGCACAAACAACTTGCTAATGGAAGACACCTTCACTTAATAATAAAGCGTGAACATTCTGTGTTTTACAAATAGAAATGTACATTTTATAAAATAAAATTTTAGGCTCAATAAAATGATTTGTATGGGAAAAGGGAAACCTGGCATTCTATCTGTCTAGATTTCTTGTTTGACTCAAATCTTCTTGTCTGTAACAAGTATCACAAAATATACACTCTAGCCCACAACATTTACTGTGTACAATCTAGGGCCTTCTTTTCTAATCCTAAACTGAAAAGTTACTTTTTGTGCAGGAGGGAAAGATACAGAGAAATATACAATTAAATAACAAAAAAAGTCATCTCCCCATCTCTCATTTTTTTTCTTTACTGTCCTTTTGAGTAAAACATGAATTGTATGACTTAGTGAAAATGCCAGTAAGAACATTAGCCAAAAAGGAATACTGGCATTTTAAGTTTTTCAGTACAGTTTACAAAAACGAAAATAAAACATTTATCTTCCAACCTATACCAGCAAATGAGAATACTATATACCCTATTTATTCTCCTTCCATTGGAAGAAAAGGCACCTACTGAAAGAAGGAAGCAGAAGATTTACGTGAGGACTCACTATGGGACTTGGGCAATGAAGATGGGAAGTAAAACTCATTCATTCCTCTTTCATTTCCTATGGAAATATAAATTTGGTCTCTAGTCAAGGAAGGGCTATAAATATAAGTTTCAAATGACTTCCTCTACTTGTCTACTCTCAGATGGAAATTGTGATGTTATATGATTAACTAGAAGGTCAGGCTAGATACCTATGTTCAAAAGTCAGCTAAAGGCTAACTTTGTGTTGCCCAATCTAAGTAGAGAACAAGACTCATTCTGTCCCTGAAAAAACCAAGCCTGACAGCAGGCTTTTCTTCAAGAGAGTCTTTTCTATAAGACAGCCTAAGTCAGTTGTTCAAATAGTTCTGAACAATGTGCCATGTATACATATACAAATGACAGGAACTTGGTAATTCTAAATTGACTATTTTATATTGATAATGACTGTTGATTAAAGAATTACAAAAAAGGTCTATACTAACTTGAAAAAAAAAAAAAAAGAAATATAACTCCAAATCCCAAAGTCATATGCCTTTGACAATTCAATTTATTTTATTTTTGCTGGCTGTTCACTCACAAAGTAACCAGGTATCCAAGTAGCATTGAAATGTTTAGTGATTCTATTAAATTACTGATTGAAAGAAGTCTTTCCTTAGGTTGATTTTATCTTCAACCATTACAGAGAAACAAGCAGAAGGTTCTAACTCTGGAAAAATCAGATACAGTTGATTATTAAACCTGTGCATGATTCTTAAAATATGGATCTAAAAAAATGCAGTCAGCAGACGGTTCTTGTGTTTTAATGTCAAAGATGATCTATATACTCTCTCTCTAGCAGCCTATCTATGACCTGACAGACTTTCCTTGTAGCCTAATAGGGATGGGAAAGGGTAGGTTAAACAAAATCTACAAGAATGATAAACGTGGAAAACTGTATAGGCATACCTTGCTTTATTATGCTTTGCAGATACTGCATTTTTTATAAATTGAAGGTATGTGGTAACCCTGCATCGAGCAAGTCTATTGGTGCCATTTTTCCAACAGCATGTGCTCACTTTCTCTCTCTGTTACATTTTGGTAATTCTCACCAAATGACCAAATATTAAAATTTTAAACGTTCTCATAATGCTATTGCACACTTAATCGACTACCACACAGTGTAAACAAAACTGTTATATGCAACAGGAAACCAAACAGTTCCTGTGACTCACTTTATTGTGATATTTGCTTTATAGCAGTGGTTTGGACCTGAACCTACAATATTTCCAAGGTGTGCCTGTAAATCATACAGAAGGTAGAAGTGATCATTTGACTTACAGCAGCTGCTTCCAGATGGAGCCCATTTAAGCACTGACTCAGGGAGCTCATCCAGCAGACTAGAACAAAATAGAGTAACACACATTGACTTTGTTTTAAATCCAGGGACTCACTGTTTTGATTAGAAAACAACATAGGTCACCAGAATTGTGGCTTACGATGACTTGTTTCAACTACCTGCAATGGGTGAGAGGGTAAGCAAAGGTAGTGGGAAAAACCCCTAATTCCCATGGACCAATTTTATATCAATCAGCTAGAAACTAAACAATGTAGAATTACAGTATAAAACCAAGCCTACTATCATGGAGTCAATTCTGACTCATAGTGAGCCTTTGGACAGAGTACAACTACCCCATAGGGTTCCTAAGGCTGTTATCTTTATGGAGTAGACTGCCACATCTTTCTCTCAGGGAGTGGCTGGTGGTTCAAACCTTTTTTGGTTAGTAGCCAAGCTCAAAGTTTGCTTTTGTAGACAGGCAGACACAGGGACATTTGGCATGACTGTTTTCTTAACAATAAAAATTTACAGGAGAAAAACTAGTATGTGGATTTTCAGGATATTTTTCCTCAGGTACTACAATCAAAGAGGGGCACATTATTCAATTATTTATGCATCTATTATCCACTGGGCAGTATTTTATTTATTTATTTTTTAAACTGTGATTTGGGTAAAAGTTTACAGAGCAAATTGGTTTTCCATTCAATAATCCATACCTATTCTGTTTTGTGATATTCACTGCAATCTCCACACTAACAGCATTGTTCCCACTTCATCCCTGTGCCCTTCCCTTCCCTTTGTCCTTCCTTCCCATCCCCTCCTGCCTCCCTAGCTCTATCCCTGGGCAAATGCTGGTCTCTTGATCTTGTATGCTTGATTGTTCTAGTAAGCGCCTACCCTCCTGGTATTTCTCTTTATAGGCCTGTCTACTGCTTGCTTTAAAGCTGAATTATGGGGCTTAAGTTCAGTTCCTAGCTCAAAGGGTGTCTGAGGGCCACAGTCTCAGGGGTTCCACCAGTCTCTATCAGACCAGTAAGCCTGGCCTTTTTTTATGATGTTGAGTTTGTTTTCCACATTTTTCTCCCACTCTCTCTGGGCTGTCCTATTGAGCAGTCTTGTTTCAGAGCAGTCAGCAGTGGTAGCCAGGCATCGTCTAGTTCTTCTGGTCTCAGGGTGATGAAGAGTGGGGGGGTTCACATGATCCATCATTTATCCTTTGAACTAATTGTTTCCTTGCATCTTTGGTTTTCTCCACTCTTCTTTGCTCCAGGCAGGGAGAGAGCAACAGTTGCACCTTAGATGGCCATTCATAAGCTCTTAAGACCCAACTTGCTAATCGCCACAGTAGGATACAGAAGATAGTCTTTGTGAACTAAGTTATGCCAGTTGACCTTAGTGTTCCTTGAGACTATGGTTCTGAGGCTCTATGAATTGGGCAGTGTTTTTTTGCTATGATTAAGCAAGAAATATTCAAAAGACAAAAACAAAGAACAGGCAAATAAACCCCAATGTCCTAACATTTTCCAGTGTTTTAGACTGAACAGGTGCAACTCTCTTAAGTTGCTTCAGCCACAAAGATAGAAACATTCAACTAAAAATTTTGATAGCATATTTGATTCAAAAACTCAGGCAGAATTGCAAGAATAAATGCATCATCTAGTATCACCCTATCTTAGGAAAGTAAAGGGTGTAATGGAGATACAGCATTATGGTTGGATATACAAATGTGACCTTATGGGGAAATTCAATGTTATGCTTTCTATAGCAAGTTGAATAAATTGTGACTTTGTATTATATACTATAAGAACTTTTCAAATGTCTGTGGTTTATCTGAATTATAAATTTTATGATATTAAGTGTACTAGTCTATGGAATATATTATTAATCAAATAAAAACAAAGATATTAACATTTACAGAGTCTCCAAATAAAAATAGAGGTTATTAGTGTTACATTCTATTAGTTTACCTGATATCCTATTATTCTACATGAATATAAATAAATAGATACACTCATTAGGTACCTGTAATGAATGCATTTCTCTTTAGACGGCAGGTAGGTAGGTAGGTAGGTAGACAAACAGAAGACTAAAATAAACCATAGTGGTAAATCTTATTAAAATAGAAACACATGTAATTAATTGTTAGAATTAAAATGCTAGTTTTTAAACTCAAGTACATCACTGGAATTAAGAAAACTGAGTTGTAAAACTGGAAACCAAGACTGCTTCTCTCTGCTCATTACTGTGCATTGGCTTGACCCATCATCTGATAAATGTCAGCTACATGAAGGATAATATGGGCACATCAGTCACTGCAGTAAAAAACTGACTAGATAGTTCTAATATTGACTTTTATAAATGTGTAAGTTTTGGGTGAGGGACTAGAATGATCAAGATTCCAAGTGGAGAAATATCACATACATGTCAGGATTCACAAATTTATCCTATAGTATTCTGGATCTACAGGCTAACCTTTCTCTCTACTGAGAACAGATGCCACACCGAATTTGAAGACTGATTTCTATTGATAACATGCCCCTTTTTCACACTTCTGTGTGACCTGCCCTATTGAAAACTTAGCTGCCTTTTCCAATTGTGATATTGTATCTGTGGATAAATACTGTTGGACATACCTTGGTGTATAATGAAAAGCTGCCTGTTCTATGCTATGTACAACTGATTTTGTTTCAGGCCTGATTGGGGGAGAACAGTAAAATAGTAACACATTTGGTTCTTAGGCTGACCTAATTTTCATGCTAACAGATTCTAGGTGATAAAAACTGAATGTTCAATATTAAAAATGTTTATGTGGTTGTAAGATCATCTTTTGTATAAACATCCCATATAAAAATTTTGTTTGTTTCTTCCTCAAGAAACAAAATGTACTCCCTCCAAGATAGAAGATTAAGAAAGAGGTATAATGCTCTCACGTGAAAAATATAAACCATATTTGTCCCATTTCACATTGTTGCTTTGTACAGTTAATGTCGATCACACCAAGCACAGACTGCCTCTGTATACTTGTACATTGCTCATTTGAAAATACTCTTCCTTGAAAATACCACCACCTAGAATCTAAGCTTTGGAAAACATCATGAAAAGGAACACATATTTCACTCATTGTTTTGCATTACAACTCATGTATATGTGTCTTTATGGATGTTACCTTAATGGATTTTATATTTTCTAGCTGTTTGGGAGTTTTGACAATATTTTTAAAATTAAAAAATTTGCTCTGGCTTTCACGTTGTATGAAGAGCAGTCTTCTCTGGGATATTGGCTCCCTCAGACTTGTTTCAGTAAATGGTGGAGTACTTGCAAGTTCGTACTTTGTTTTAGCAGTCTGGACAGCCACAGGGTCCTTCAGGTTCCGTTCCCAGGGCAGCTTCCCACATAACCATCGCAGCATACAGTAGCCAAGGATTTCAAGGTCACTTCGTCTGGACAGGGCTATAGGAATAAACATTAAGAGTTAAAGATGAGGGAAAAGGAAGTTCTTGAGAAATAGAGAAATCTTTGAGTGAACTACTGTTGATAAAATATGAAAAAAAACCCAAATGGGCAAAGTGCTTTGTTTGTTCAGCTGGAATAAAACTTAAACGCCCAAGCGTTTGGCTCTAGTCCACAGACAGGCAGTGACTTGTTGCTGTTGAAAGTAAGGGTCAGTTTCCTCACCTCCTCCAACTTCATCCTTCCTTAGTCTGGTCTGTCACATGAACTTGATCCCCATGGCCTCTGACATGATCCAGACAACCCATAACCCGGCACCAACACTTTCTCAAAGAGCTAAGCAGTAAAACAAAGAAATAAATGTCTGCAGCTAAATTGCTAACATATGTTCCAGGAAGTCCACGGGGCCCGTATTGGTCATGCAGAGACCCTTTGAGTGCAGACTAAACATTGATGGCCTTTCCTGTTCTACTCTCACCAGCAGCATTTGAAGTTCGAAGAATATGACGAAACTGCCATCTAGTGTGCAGTATTAAAAACCAGGTCTGTCTTAAGATTCTTCAATTACACAGAAGTACAGGATAAAATATAGCTACTGTTTTGGGTACACAGTTCTAAAATTTTACAAATACTCTTTAGACATATGCAGCACGAAGCTAAAATTCTCATCCTGTATTCTACACAGAAAATATAAAGATGAAGGAATGCTGTGTGCGTTGTGGGGGCAAGATGAGGAGTGAGGAGATTGGAGGGGGAGGGAGTAGATTTCAAAGTCAGGCAAATAGAGGCTTTTTGAAAATAATGTAAGATAGGTTTTCATAAAAAATACAGTGAAAGAAGAACATTTTCAGCCCACTGTAAATACCATTTATATCAAACTATTAAATGCCAGTAGACCAATTTCATCATAATTTTATACATTAATTTATAGTGCCTTGTTTCAAAAGATGGACAATGAAACCTAAGAAACATGGCAAATATAACTGATACTTATTAAGATATCAATGAAATAATTATTAAAACACTAACAAATAGCCACCAAATATACTCACCATTTTTATAACCATTCTAAATCATTATAAAACAATGGGCTGGCATTTATATTTCTATCATTACTTGAATGTTCATCTGTGTAGGCAGATATAATCTCTTAAGCACAATATGTGGCTGTTAAACCTGCTGTAAACAGGTATCCTCTTTTATTATTTTTCATTAAATACGTTCTGAAAAGTCATTCCGTAAACTTAGTGTTTAATTTAAAGAGTCATCTACAAAGATCAATGCTGCCAACACATCAGAACTACTTTTGGTTACCATACATAAGTTATAAAAGCAGCAGACAAGATTAGCTCTTACACATACTCTATCTTAACTGCTATTAGAGTATTGGATTATTAAAGGCCCTTCAATCTAGCAGAATGCTAGAGTCCCATGGGTGCCATTTACTTTCTGCACAAGCTTCAACAATGTCCTAATGCAAGACTTGGCTCTCATATTAAAATAAAAACACAATCTCTACCACACAGTTCTGTAGTGATTGCTTCAGTAATAAATCTCCCATTAATAATGGAATGGTTCCATTTGTACAGATGTGTTCACAAGTCCCTTTTCCATTATGCCTAGTTCCAACTACTGCTACTAAAAAAACAAAACAAAACTAAAAAACCTCACATTCTCTAATTTTCAAAAACTGATACTCTGGCACCTGATTGGATGACACAGGCTATGCACAAGAGGCCCTTTGAGGAAGAACAATCAGAATTAAAATGGAATGAACCTTTTCAGCCACTTTCTCCCTCCCACCCCCCAACTGAGGGATTAATTGATGAGAAGCTGTAAGTAAGGACACGTCATTTAGACTTCTGAAGCCAATCTTCCATAAACTGGTCTTCATTTGAAATAGCCCATTGAGAGTTAACTTTACTTCATTATTATAGTTTGGTCTTACCTAATTAAAATACATTATCACAGTTTCAATCTTTTACTTATATGTTAATATTGCACACATATATTAATGACTATCACTATGTAAATGGGCAATCTACTTCCATAGTGATACTGCCTCAGCAACCCAAGGAAGGGTCGCTAGGAGTCGGGTCTGACTCAATGGCACAGAACAACAACAACAACATGTAAGGACAGCACAGAACAACAACATGTAAGTAAACGTTTTACATTTTTTTTCCAAGTTCTATGGAAATAAAGGCAATTTTTTTTTAAAGCATCCAATAGTTACCCTTTCTCATGATTAAAGAGTGAGACAAAAGTATTAAAAGTATTTCTGAGTACATACATCTCACTGGAATTCCTTCATAGGGAAATACATTTACAAGTTTGATTTACTTTCTCACTCTCAAAAAACAAAACTCACTGCTGTGGGTCAGATCTGATTCACAGTGAGCCCTCCTAGGGTTTCTGAGGCAGTATCTCTGTGGAAGTAGATTGCTTGATCTTCCTTCCCAGGAGTGTCTGGTGGGTTTGAACCCCCAGCCTTCTGGTTAGCAGTCAAATGCCTTAGACAGTAGTGAAGTTAAAAATCTCAAACTATACCAATGAGTATTTCTTATTTTCATCAATTGTGCAAAGAAGAGTAATTTTAATACCTTGAAATTTAATTTAAAATAAATATTTTAGTTGACAATATCAGAATATATGTGTATGATTAACACAAAGAATTGATCATAATTGAGAAAAGGACTATTAGTATCTAACTATGAAAACATATTTTCTTTTTCACTTGAAAGGTGCTTCTTTGATTATACAGTTTTCAAATTCATTTATAAAGATGCTAAATGAAACATTAAAGAGAAAGAGCCCTGGATTAGGAATCCTAAGATTAGAGATCCAACTCTAGCCCTGCCACTAACTATTATGTTTCTAGCTCTAAAATTCAATAATGATGGGCATTATATTTCTTTTTAATACATTATCATTCATTTGGATCGAAAATACATTATGAAGTATTTTGTTTCTTTTTGAGTAAAATATTTGTATATTTTACAATAGTTGCATTTGGTAGTTAATATAATCATTAAAAATACATTTCCATATAAATGTCTTAAAAAATAAAACTTTATTCAAGGTGCTATTGCTTAGAAATATAACAAGACTGCGTAATTAACAAGATTTTCTCTCTAAACTCTTTCAAGTTTCTAAATATTATTTGGCATCTAATTTTTATCTAGCTTACAAATGTGGAGTAATGTAAATGTCTCTTTTCATTGAAAGCCTGTGGTGCTCTCAAGTATTTAACATTTCAAAATTTATAAAGTATTGCCAAGATAATAAAAACAAATAGACAGGTGGGGATTTGAATTCTACTTCACTACAAGGTGGATTCCAGGAACAGCTGACACTAGGATGCATATGTAAAATAAGAACAACTGATATGATTTATGGAGCTGCTACTGTTTTGTATTATCTCATTTAACCATCCCAACAATCATATAAGGTATTGTTATCCTTGTTCACAAATAAAAAAACAGAGGCTCAGAGAGGTTAAATAACTTGCTCAACATCAAAGAGGGAACACGGACAGAGCTCAGCACTGAGATCCAAGTATGTCACAATCCAAAGCCCATGTCTCATCTAATAATTGCTTTGCCTCCCGCATGATTGTAACACCAAAAAGCAACATTACATACATTACTTTTATAGTTTTTGTTGTTGTTGTTATGTGCCGTCGATCATAGTTTATAGTTTAGTAAGTACTTAAAGCAGACATTTCAACTTAAAACACACAAAGACATACTGATGGTTGCTTTGGGAAGGCATAAACAAGCAGGAGATTCTGAGATCTAAGCTGCATGACTAACAAAAATTTTCATGCACCTATTCTTTCATGAAACTATTTCTTTCAAACCACTTCACAGTGATAAAGAAGGGGCTCCAGCTGAAACTGTTTATTTTATAAAGTTTTAAATGGTCTTTCCAAGCTGGCAGAAGAACAACATACAAGCTACTTTGGAGGACTGATCCTTATTATAAAGACATCCCATGCCATTGCCATTGAGTCCTTTCTGACTCATAACAACCCTACAGGACAGATCAGAACTGTCCCAACGTATTTCCAGGGTCGTGCATCTCTACAGAAGCAGATGGCTTCACCTTTCTCCTAAAGAGCAGCTGGTAGGTTCAAACCACTGACCTCTTTGGTTAGCAGCTGAAAGCTTTAACCACTATACCACCAGAACTCCTGAGTATAAAGACAAACAGAAATAAAATTATTTGTGTCCATTTAGCAAATGTAATGAAAGGGGAATTGGGAGAAAGAGAAGTGTATATGTTAATTCCAAAATGGGTTTGAATATTTGCTTAAAAGTGTTTTCTGTTTTATTTCTTACATAAAGTAACAGTATGGAATATACACACATACACACTGTGGAGGGTTTGGCAGGAAATAATATAGTGAAATTTTTGCTTCAGGCAGATAGAGTTTAAATGCCCAAAATACTAGTTCATATGCTCAGAAATGACAACAAGAAAGCAGAAAACATGTGAATAAGATCTCACCTGATAAAGTGAATGGTGACTATTTACAGAACAAATATGAAATTTATTCTTATTTGTCCAAGTAGTAACCTACAAAATTCAGTGTTTTGTCAAATCAGATATGGAAAGAGCTGAAAAATTTTATGTTGGCCACAATTTACTGCAATTTCAAAAAGTATTAGGGAAGTAGAATGCAATGTATCACATTTCAAGTAAAATATTAAGCCCGAGCCTCTCCTATTATTTTTTTTCAATACCTTTTAAATTCTAAGCATTAGTATTTCCCTGAAACACTACCGTGTGAGGCTTAGCGAAAGTGATTCAACAGAGCAAGTATTTTACATTTTGGCTGCCGTGTATAATTAACTCAACCAAAGAGTTAAAAAGCCAACTACACAAGGCATGTCCAGATGTAAAAACTGGGTATATGTCAGACAGAAAGAATAGTGCCTTCATTACTGTTTATCTCTATATTAACCAAGAACTATTGATAGTAAATTTATCTGAGAGAACAAATCAACAGTATGTTTTTCTCACTACTAACAGATTTAATAGAGTATATCAGTAAATGCTTGATTTATATTAGTATTTTATCATAATTGGAAAGTGGGTTTCCAATTTTGAATTATTGTTTAAGAAGATAAGTATTTTGTAAACCATGTCATTTCCCAAAGTTTGGTGACATGAAAATACATTCTCAGTTTGTTTCACATATATTTTTATTTTACATATAAGTCAGAGAGCTTGTTAGAGTGAAATGAAACCATGCAAGAAATAACAGAAGACTTGGATTTCATATACTGTACCAACTAGCGAAGTTATAGAAGTCAGTAATATATTTCTTTTCTTAATACTGAATATATTACATAAACAAATGGACATTTAAAATGTAATTTAGATATCATATTTTATGGTCATCAATGATACCAAATTAAAACAGCTATTATATACTCAATGTACAAGTCTCAAGCATTTAAAAAAGCTCAATATGTTAAATGCAGTATATCTCTAGAGAAATTAGATATTGACTGCATGCCTCAGTGAGTAGAAAAATCTACAAAAATCCATACTACACATTGATCCAAATATTGCTTTTTAACATTACTAAGAATGTAACAAATTTTAAAATAGTATATTTGACACAGATATAATTCTCTTTAATTATCAGGCTACAAGTCCAAAATATGTCAATGTTTATACATGCTAGTTTTTATGATGAATATAAAATTAATAATAGAAGAAATAAGCCCAACACATATTACTCTAATTTCACACTAAATGAAGCACTTCAGTCACGTAGAAAATACCTTTAGGTCACACAAGAGAATTGAGTTTGGAAGATTACCTGCAATTTTTATAAAAAAAACCCCAAAGATATGGCTATAGATGTATGATAGCTCCAGTAAAATTTATCCATCCAGCCATGCACCCATCTATCTTCCTGTATTTCTATTTCTTTTTGTTTGTAATAATATCTATGCATATTTTTGACTTGTAATAGTACAAGCTAGTAAACAAAACGTTTGTTTCCCATATCTTTCCCTTTCAACACCCCTCCCTTTTACATAATACAGAACTAGATGATGCTTAGGTGAAAAGACTTATCCATACTTTACACAGACTCCATTATAAAAATCCAGTTAATCCAAAGAAGAGAGGTTTAGCTTCAGTTTCTGAAAAATCACCACAAAAAGTAGCAGAAACTAGATAGTGAACAGGTTAACAGTCTCTGGTGAGTGACTCATAAGTCAGTTTTACATGCAAGTCTGAATGTTTGCCTGACCAGATGCAGATATACCTGACACACAGTAAATACTCTGACAACTAGAGACTGTATTTCTCAATGATAACTTTTTTGCTCCATATGCATTCTGTTGTATTACCTTTGTGAGTATTTATTTGATCTCCTAGCTGGGCTGATATGGAAAAGATTTTTCTGAGATTAAACTAAACAGTGACAATGAATATTTACAAATCTGACCTTCTACATTTATCTACAGGATTTATGGTCCTGTTTCGTTTCTATATATGGCTAAATAATTATTTCATTTCTAATAAAATCTTAATGTGAAATGTTTTATTTTGGAAATTTAAATGCAAAACATTAGGAACGAACAGTATTCAAATATTTGAGGATACCAGAACCTCCATTTTACAAATCAGACTAAAACTGCTTATTAAATTTTCAGCACATATGTATATGTGTGTATGTGTGCATATGTGTATGTGTGTATGCCAAATTCATACATTTATGTAGAAGTTTAGTATAAATCCTATTATAAATGCATTAAAGGAGCACACTACTTTACAGGAATCTTATGTGAAAACTATGATAAAAATGAATATTCATTCTATCATATAATTTTTCAGCAAATACCAAAAGTACTTAATGTGCGCATTTCCTGAATAGTTCTCAGGGAGTTTACATCATCTTGCTATGATGAATCTTAGTTCCACTCAACTCATTAACATGTATTATTATTCAGGGAGAAAAAATGAACTACCAAATCAAAGTTTGCTCAAATCTTTCATAAAGATAGCCCAAAATAAACAAAGCCCTGCACTGGAAAACCTGAAGAGGACTTCAGAATTACCATAGTCCAAACACTGACCAGGCCAGCATGTAACAACTTTACCTCCTCTTCCACAGTCAGAGTGGTTTCTTAGCTATTTTAATAGCAAAATATATATTGGAACAGTGTTAGAGTGATCAGCTGAAATAAATGGTCTAACCATAAATTAGTTTCGTTATTAACATAACCAGATTAAAGCTTAAGAATATGTATGATGAATTTCCAGTTATACCATGAGCAAAAAAGGACTCTTCAGTTTCTGAAAATTCTGTTATACCGATGAATCTGAGAAAGGTGAAAACGAAATTCATTGAGAATGAAAGAACTTTAAATTGGGGGGAGAGGGGAGAACCACCATTACCAATGAGTACCGAAGTCTTTTTTTTTTTTTTTTCCAAATTAAAGCAACATCCCATTTATATTTTTATATGTTTATCAATGAGATTTATTAATGATGTAAATGGTGAAAATTACACATTATTACTAAATTCCTAAGTGACCTATTATTTTTCTAACTAAACTATATTTGAAAAATATAGTAGTTTTTTTCACTCTAACCAAGAATATAAAAGGCAATTTTCACTTTTGAAGATTTAAGCTGTAAGTTTTCCTGAAAAGAAGAAGGTATACAACTGACAGACTTGTTTCACTATTTCATCGGCCTACCTTAAACTAATCAAAACCCAAACAAACTTATTGCTCTTGAGTTGATTCTAACTTACAGCAACTCCAGAGGACAGAGTAGAACTGCCCATATGGTTTCCAAGGCTGTAATCTTTATGGAAGCAGACTATTTCATCTTGTTCCCTCAGCGCAGCTCATGGGTTTGAACTGCCCACCTTACAGTTAGCAGACAAGCACTTAACCACTGCACCAGGGCTCCATCTTAAACTTGTGAGGGTTTAAATTGCTCTAGAAAATGATCAAGACCCTCTACATTATGTGGTCAATGGTCCTTTTAATAGAAAAGACAATAATACACAGTTGTTCGTACCAACTAAAACTCGTTAGAAAGTGATCAGTTTAGGGTAACAGTTCAACAACCATTAACAAGTGGAAGTGTCTAATTGCCTTTTAGTGAACATGTAGTCCTTTCCAAGCTACTGAAAAATTCTTCGTTAGGTTTAGCATATGTGAAAATAGAAGCAAACTTTACAAAGAATATAATTTTGAAAGCCAAAGTTTTTCAATAATCACCATTTTTTTCACTAGCATAACATTAGAATTGACTTTTTGTCTTGCTGACAGAGGAACTAAGAAAGTACAGTTGCATTGACCATATTGATTATGAACGAAGCAACCAACAGTGGGACTCTGCACCATATATTTTCAATATTGACCTCCTACTTCCTTTTCCATGGCTTTCTGGGTCGGCTATTGGATTTGGACTGCAGTGTAATAAACAGCTAAGGTTTAATTAATGGTAAATGAATACAAGACATAGGTTATGACTTTAACTAATTAGGGAATTGTTGAATTAAGTCTGCCTTGGAATGCAAGGCAGTGCGATCAATATCCAATAAAAGGACGATGTATGTAATTTACCTGCAAATGTGTTTCCAATACCATCAAAGGGAGTTTAAATAAGTAAGATATATGAAAGGCGACTAGGAGAGATTTCCACAAGTTAACATTTTATAGTTTCAGAAAAGATTTCCTTACTGGTGAAAGATGATATCTTCCTATGGTCTGATAAGAACACAATGAAAAACAGGAATAATTCTTCACACATGAACCTTCGCAAAATGTGTGACACAGACTACAGCATAAAAATTCAAAGTTGCTGACCTACCAGTTTACCTGTACAAACTATCAATTTCCTGGCCAAAATGAGCATCAAGTTTGCTTAAATTACCCCTTCTGATCCCTTCTTACTTATCATAGTCTATATCTCCTTCCACTGTTAGAAGAAATAATCATTGGCCTAACAGGAATTCATTGCTTTTGATAAAAATGTCACCAGTGCTCTCTTCAAACTGACTATGCAAAGGCCAATGCCATGCAATCTTATTACTCTTGTCTAACCATTCTGCTGAAATAAAAACAAGAAAAAAAGAAACCCACCTACTCCCTTGTGGGCATCCAAGCTGGTAAACTCCATTGTCCCATTATGGCCTTTTCTAGGATTTTCCTGATACTGTTTGTGGTTCCCATTGGGGCAATATCTGTAGGAAAGTCCATAATCTGCAAGATAAACCTGGAAGACATGAACAGATAAATGAATAATGCTTTTGTCCTCTGAAAATATAACCTTTATAATTAAGCCTTAAGAAACTGATAGGTTAAAAACAGCCTCAGATCTACATTTTATTAAACCAAATGGTGCCTTAGGATAAAACATATGCAACTGGGGGCTATAACAACTAACCTTCCAACTGAAATCTTAACTTCATCATAGGAATATCTTATTTCTGAGGTGACTTAGATTTTTAGCCTTTTTATTTTGCTCCTAAGTTCCTTTCCCTCCAGGTGGGCATCTAGACATCGCAAACCACAGTATGTCTGCCTTTTTATTTATATATATACATATATACATATACATATATACATATACATATACATATACATATACATATACACATATATATACATATATATACATATATATATATATACACACACATATACATACACACACCACACACACATATACATACACACACACACACACACACACACACACACATATATAT